CCGATTACAAGGATCTACATATAATCTCCTCCCTGGGGGATAGGCAACAGAAAAGTGGATGAAGGGAGACGTCAGACAGTGCAAGATATGACAAAATAATAATTTATAAATTATCAAGGGTTCATGAGGGAGAGGGGAGCGGGGAGAGAGGGGGAAAATGAGGAGCTGATGCCAGGGGCTTAAGTGGAGAGCAAATGTTTTGAGAATGACGAGGGCAATGAATGTACAAATGTGCTTTACACAATGGATGGATGTATGGATTGTGATAAGAGTTGTATGAGCCCCTAATAAAATGATTTTTAAAAAAAATTTTTAAGTAAAAAAATAAAAATAAAATTGATATCAGCAGCCAAAACAAAAATCCACCACCTTCTTGGACAGGCAAGGAAACTAAAATACAGTTCTGCTTAGACCGAAAGAGCTTAAGGGGTTTATAGAAGAACAATACTTCTGTGGCAATCAGACAGAAAAGAAATCAGAAAAGCACCAGACACAAGTGGATGGCAAAAGATACTGACAACTTAAGACTCTTTATATATGTCTCATCACAGCTTCTGTGTACTTTACAACCTTGAACTATTAAAATAAAGAGAATTAAATTATTTATAGTTCTCATAATGATACGGAAAATGGCAGCCAGAAGCCTTGGGTTTCGAATCTAGCTCTGCTCAGGAAGCTGTGTGAGTGAACTAGGAATAGATCCTGTGGAAGAAGGGACGGTACCCAATTCACTTCTGGGATTCTTCCCAGGGATTTATACTCCATCCGCGAACTTGCCCCCTCATGCTTAGTGTGATCATCACAATCGCCAATGCTTAACAATGGTCACTAGTGTATCATCACTTGACAACGGAGAAAAGTGAGGTAAAGAGAGAGGCAATAACATGTTCAAGTCCCACCGGGGGGTAATTCAAAACCAGTCAGTCCAGGGACAGAGCCCAGGTCCCCAGCCAGCACATTATCCCATTCTGCATCCAGGAGCGTCGTAAAGAAGCTCAGAAAGCACATGAGGGTTCTGAGCTGAAGGCCACGTTCCGGGATTCCCCTTCACTCTCCTGGAGACTTTCCGACATGAAACCAAACAGCATTGTGCTCTGACAAGAAAGCTGCTTTGTGCAAGAAAGCTTCAGCGTATAATTACCGTACCTATGTCCATCCACACATCTTTTTGCTCCAGTGTTTCAGATAAGATGATCACTAATTTGGTCACCTAAATCTAGTGCTTCAGCGTTTGTGTTCTGAAGTTTTCCGGGGCTTGCATTTGAAACTGAACTCAGCAATTTTCCAACTGTGAAAGTTGTGGCCAATTACATGTTTTCTTGAACAACCATGATTTGTTTCATCTACTAAAAGGACATAATAATGACAAGTGATGGCTGAGGTTATGTATAACATTTCAAAGAATGGGAATTCCAGAGCACATAAGCAGCAGAAGTAAAGAGTGTATCTGGAATACAGGAGAGTTCTGGGGACACTTCTTAGTATTTCATGCCTTATCAAAGACCACGGAAAAGTACAGCAATCCAATTCCAACATGAGTCCTGATGGCCCAAACCCTTCAGGAATGATGGTTTTGGTCACCCACCACGCAAAGAGATGACCGGCTGAGGTGCTTGCTGAAAGCAAAGGGAAAATGGAATGGGTGATTAAAAGGCAATATAAACATCAGCTATAACCACATGGGCAACTTCAGAAGCAAGGCTGTAATTGTATCCTTTGTGTGTGTGTGTGTGTGTGTGTGTGTGTGTTTGTACAAGTATAAAAGTATATACATGACAGTATCTTGGTCATCTTCCCTCCCTTATTCTGTTATTTATGTAAACAGAGCTAGTGTGCTTTCCGTTGTATGGATGTCAGTTGTATTATGTTATGCACAGCATAACTTTAGAGATTATATAAGATTTCAGAAGATGTGTATAGGTGCCAAGTTGATAAGACGTTGACTTATGATAGTTATTGCTATGTTTCAACTTGGCTAGGTTAAGATTCTCAGTGGTTTGGTATATAATCATCTTCCATTTGGTGATCCAATGTGAACAGGAAATCGGTTTTAAAAGGAATTTCTTTGGGGGGTTACCTGATTCCATTATACATTGAGGTATCGCAAAGCTCACCTTCTCTAAATGCTGCATCTAACATCATCCTCTGACCTCTAGTTCTAGGGATGTGAGCGAGGATTCTCAGATCTGACATGTAGACTTGGGGATTTCTCAGCTTCTGCAGGCCTATAAGCCAGGAGCTTGCTATTTACTAAAAAGCTGCTGATGTTTAGTTTACCGGCCCCTGCTACTATGTCAGTCAGAAACCATCCATGCTATGCCTCTAGAATCGTATGAGCCATTTCTTTAAAAGAACACTATCTGTCATCTATAATCTGTCTGTCTGTCTAACTTCACTGGTTTGAAGTCCAGAGAACCCAGTCTAGACGTAACACCTACGTCAGAGAATTGAATTGAGAACAATAGAAGTCAGTGCATACATAAAGTCTATGTAGGAAAGAGTAAGGGCTCAATTAAAATTAGTTTTGTTTTGTTTTGTATTTTGGTGGGGTTTTTTGTTTGTTTTGTTTTTAATCATTTTATTGGGGGCTTGTACAACTCTTCTCACAATCCATTCATAGATCCATTGTGTCAAGCAGATTTGTACATTTGTTGACATCATCATTCTCAAAACATTTTCTTTCTACATGAGCCCTTGGTATCAGTCCATTTTCCCCTCCCTCCCCGCCCCACTCTTCCTCACCAACCCTGGATAATTTATAAATTATTATTATTTTCTCATGTCTTACACTGTCCAAAATCTCCCTTCACCCACTTTTCTGTTGTGCGTCCCCCAGCGAGGGGGTTATATGTAGATCCTTGTGATCAGTTCCCCATTTCTATCCCACCTTCCCCTTCCCCTCCTGGTATGGCTACTCTCATTAATGGTCCTGAGGGGTTTATCTGTCCTGGATTCCCTGTTTCCATTTCTTATCTGTACCAGTTTACATCCTCTGGTCTAGCCTGATCTGTGAGGTAGAATTGGGATCATGATACTGGGGGGAGGGGGAGAGGAAGTATTTAAGAACTAGAGGAAAGTTGTATGCTTCGTTGTTGCTATACTGCACCCTGACTGGTTCATCTCCTCCCCGCCACCCTTCTGTAAGGGGATGTCCAGTTGCCTACAGATGGGCATTGGGTCTCCACTCCACACTCCCCCACATTCATAATATGATTTTTTGTTCTTTGATGCCTGATATCTGATCCCATCGACACCTTGTGATCACACAGGATGGTGTGCTTCTTCCATATGGGCTTTGTTGCTTATCAGCTAGATGGCCGCTTGTTTATCTTCAAGCCTTTAAGACCCCAGACACTATATCTTTTGATAGCTGGGCACCATCAGATTTCTTCACCACATTTGCTTATGCACCTGATTTGTCTTCAACGATTGGGTCGGGAAGGTGAGCATCATGGAATGATGTGTTCTTGCATTGAGGGAATACTTGAGTAGACGCCCAATGTCCATCTGCTACCTTAATACTAAACCTATAAATAGATGCACAGAGATCTATTTCCCCATCATCATATGTACATATATTTACATATGAACATGCCTGTTTTGTTTTTTACCAGCTGTGATAGTTAAATTTTATATCAACTTGATAGTACCTATGTGGAGTACTGGATGAAGATCAACCTCCTTGCAGGTATGGCCTTTTTATAAGAAAGAGACTGGGAATGTATCTCTCCCTTGTCCTTTACCTTCCTTCTGGCTTGGATTTTTTTCTGCCTCCAGGGGTGGCCGTAGGTGAGCCGCTGACCCTGGGAGCTATTGGCACCCTGCCATGCTCCCACCAGCCTTGGATCCGTGGAATTCCGCACCCACTGTCCTATGATCTCCCTGCCTCTCCCTTCACCTTTCTGTGTCTTGGGCCTGCAGCTAAGTGAATCTGGGGAGGACTGCGGTGAGCATTGAACCTACAGACTTGAGGTGGACTAGGCAGGGGTGCCTTCTATAAAATTACTCTTTGATATGAAGTTTTGTCATATATATATGAGTATCACTGATTCTGTTCCTTTAGATAATCCAGCCTAACAGAACCATATGTGTTCTGTATAACTGCCTCAATTAACACACACACACAGTTTACAAAGGAGAAAAAAAGAGGCCTTCTTACTCGGTTCTGAACTTGAGTCATCAAAAATTACCTTTGGATCTGAGACACCTAGATCCAAACAGGATAAGTAAGGAATGCCAAATCATTCTAATAGCTCAAACTTCCAGGGAGTAACCGTTGGAAATACAGTTTGGTTCTCATTTGGTGAAAAGGGTTTTAATCAACTCCCACCTAGGTGCCATGAGAACCTCCGTGAAATTCCTAAATGTTATGCAGCCAGGACATAAGGGAGTATTCTTTAAGTTTATTACCACTCTGGGATTACTCTGACTTAGAATAGGCTTGACAGCAACTGGTAACTAACAACAACAATAAATATTGTAAAACTGAAGCGTTGAACGGTTTTAATATGGACTGGCTCTGGACATATTTAAAAGATCCCATCTGTTGAGAAAAGATAACACACTTCCTCCTCACTTTTGAAAACTCCCAGTGAATAAAATTCGACTTCCTCCCACAGAATACCTATCTCAGAATATGCCTGCTTGTCAGCAAGTTCTTACCCTCCATTTTTGCTTCCTCTCCTATTCCTGTAAATTGCCGCTGGATTTAATTAGATTTAATAAGCCACTGGGAAGTGCAGCAAGGGACACAGGGAGCAAAGATTACAGTGTGGGCTTACTCTTGCGTGGTGACTCCGGCACTTCTCGGGAACGCTTACGTCCTCCCAGAGCTGGGAACATAAAGAATGCCAAGTGTATGGAAAGACAAGCTGCTGCTGCTGCCCAAATGTGAAACGTGGGTGGGGAAAATGTTTTAAGAAGAGCTTGCCGGAATAAAAGAGAAAATCAACCAGAACCTTCCGACAGCTGCAAGTAAGAAAGCGTGTGAAATCTGTTACCTTGGGTGACCCCTCGTTTCCTGCCCACTGATGGCAGGGTCCTGTTGAGACCTAGGATCCTATCCAGGTGGAAGGCGAACACCTCACTCATGTCCAAGGGCGGCTTGAGCAGACCACAGGCACTGGAGCCGCAGTGGGGCCCCGAGCCCGATGTGCTCCTCCCCAGCAGCAGCAGCAGATGCGCCCCGCGCCCTGGGGATGCAGGCTGGAGGCCTGCCACGGGGCTGCTGGCCAGCAGGCGCATCGCACGGATGTCGTCTTTGCTCAGCCACGCGGGGGCACGCTCGCTGTAGATCCTGATGCTGCCCTCCCTGGTCCAGGGCGCCCGAAACTCCGCGCGCGCTGCTAGCGCTCCAGCATCCAGATCCAACCTCCAGGGCTGCACCCCAAATTTGGCCAGGCTTCTTCCCTGGGGGTACCCAGGCTCTTTCGCGCCTGGTGTCAGGGCAGCTTCCTGAGGCTGGAGGGATGGGCGCAATAAAAGGTCCTGCCCAGGGGCGGGAGGTGCGATGGCAGATTTCTTCCTCAGCTTCGGCTTCACTGTGCCTCGGATATTGGAGGGCTTGCTGCGCTTTGCGCGGAGGGTAATGTACACCACGTTGGGCTGCAGGGGGGTGCCATTGCGCAGGGATTCAGGAGAGGTCAAGGGACCATCCAGAGGTACCTCTAGGAAAGGTGCCTGGACGGCGTCGGGGCTCCAGTGTTGCCCCTTCGCTGGTGTCCCTCTGTGCCGGGGAGAGGCACGCCCCACCTGGCTGACCAAGAAACCCAGGTAGATGGCGCAGGCAGTGCCCAGCAGGAGATTCCTCCGGGTCCTGGGGCGCCGGCTGCTCCAGAATTGACACAGCCGTGGGATGCACAGCGAGCAGATGAACCAGTTTCTGAGTTGTCGGGGCTTGTCTGGGCAGCTCATTGCTCCACAGCATCCACATGTTGAAGAGCGTTTAAAGGCTGCCGTTGACTCCGACTGACATGATGCATGCTTTCCTGACTTGGACGGACTTGTCCGCTTCGGGGTCGAAGTGGTCTCCAGGAGATCACCGTGGGAGTAAAGGGTCGGTCACCGAGTTGGCCATGTTTCTGCCACTTGGCACAATAGATCTTTGAAAATGTAATCAGCCTCCCCGGGAGACGTGCAGCTTGTTTCTGGGAATGAATGGCAAGAGAGTTAAGTGAGTCACGTGTCTCAAGCAGTACTTTTTCTAAGAGTAATGAGAAATAAAGTTACCATTTCCTTTCATAAACACCATCACAAAATGCTTTTTTAAAAATCAGGCGACAACAACAACACAAGTTAGATGAATAGCTTCATATTAAGTTCTAAATAGTGAAAAGAAACCGCACAACTCAAGAATATTTTCTAACTTGTAGCTCGTCATAGAATTAGGTTCCAGAGAAAGATCGTTAAAGTTTAAAAATGCTCTGGCTTGTCCTTTTTAAATTCAAAAATAACTGACAAGTAAAGTAATAGATACTTTTTAAAAAGCACGTTTAATTTTTAAACTCATGCATTAGTTAATTGAGCATAAATACCAAGTGTTAGCATCCAAATTAGATAATTTTCTTAGCTAGTCGTGCAAATTTTTCTTCAGACATGTTCCATTATCTTTCATTCAGTTTTAGTAAAACATAAAGCCATAAACACCCATATATCGTGTAAGCAGTTACATTTACTCAAACACAGGCATATCAATCAGACTTTTAAAAAATGCCTTTTTCTTTTCAGCAAAGTAAATTAAAATAAACTAAATCGACTTCTAGCTCCATTTTTTCACATTACTAAAAAGAAGAAGCAACTTCACTTACACAGCTGGCCCCGTGCGCGGCTCCGGGGAGAATGCCGTCCTGCTTGTAATCCAAAGAACTTTTAAAGGCTGAGGCATGTACGGTAAGTAGAACATATTTCATGGTCAAGAGTGTTCCTCGTCTCAAGTATTTCAGTGCTGCTGTGAAAGCTCCCTCAAAAACTACTGATTGAAAAGCAGAGCAGTTACTTACAAACTGGCTGCTGATAACTGTTTTTAACCATATCCTTTTCTTAATAGTTTAAAACATAAACTTCTATTTAATAAATTCCTGGCGAGGTGGGCAAAAAAAATAAAAGCACCAAACCGTGTTCATTCAAATTAACTGTTCACTTCATTGTAACTCCTGGGAGCCCTCTAGTGTCCTGTTTGCTCACAGACTGAGAAATGTCGGCTTCAGGGAGTGTTTGCACTGCTTGGTGGAGCCCCCCAGCCCCATAGACATACTGTGACATGAGAGGTGGCACAGCCCCTTCCACCCATGTCTCGGGGCTTCCAGGGATGCTACTCACCTTTACTGGTTTGGCCTCATACAGAGTAACATTTGTCTTCTGAGAAGATAAGGAAGGCTTAGAAGTTGTTATGAAAAGGAGGAAAGAGTTAACGCAAATGAGAAAGAAAATAGCAGAGTAAAGTAAGGGTTCACTTAGATAGGGATAGATCTGCAGTGTGAAGTAATAGTGCAACCGTTCACCAGTAAAGCAGCTGTGGATCCCTTCTAATAGGAAGTGGCTTTAAAAACTGCTTAGTAATTGGCTTAAATGGTTTGCACAGAGGCAGGGAGGGGTTGATGGCCTCGAAGTCTCATGTAGGCTTTCTACATTTGCTGCTGTGGCAAGTAGAATTAGGAAGCAGGAAAATGACAGGACTTTTTTTCCCCACTCTGGCTGGAAAATATTTTCTGGGGGGAGAGGGTGGTGGTAAGAAATTAGTACAGCCTATTATCTTAACAATACTCCATTTTTTTAAAATCCCAAAACCGAAGAGTGAAGAATTAGATCATATCTAGAAGAAAATTATTAACTTCCCAGTGACTAAATGTGAAAATGTATAGAACTGTTACATCAGTACTCTTAAATGCAAACCTTTCTTCCTCAAAATCTGCTCAATGGAGGGAGGAGAAGGAATAATTAATTCCAATACTGATAGTGGTCTTAAAGTATGAATGAACACCTAGTTCAACTTCATGGGTTTTAGTGAAACTTTGTGAGAAGTGAGGAATCAAAATAGTTTTCTATAAGCTCTTGAAGCATACTTTCATAGCAGAGTTGTTTTCCAGATAGGAAATGTAATTTCTTAAGTAACAAACCATGGTAGAGCTTTGTTTTTTATAACTGTGTTATTATTTTCATAGATTCAGAAGACTAACAACCTGGACCTTTCAAAATAAAAGCAGAGGCCAGGTAATAATGTTTAAGTGTTTCTAAAGCAATGTTTTCCATGGAGAAACATTAAAGAGGTAGGTAAGAGTTACTTATGTTAATTTGTTTGATCCCTCCACCTTCACCCTCCACACATATACAAAAATATACATATCCTTGCATTAGGTCAGAATAACTAGACAAACAAATCCAGAGACACTCATATGTGTGTAAGAGAGAGCTTTATATCAAAGAGAAAACATCCCAGCCAAGTCCAGATCAAGTCCATAAGTCTGATATTAGCCCATAAGTCCGATATTAGTCCATAAATCCCTCTTCAGACTCACACAGCACAAGCAACGATGCGGAGTGCAGGAAGATCACAGGTTGGTGGGTTAAAAGTCTTGTGAACCCAATGCTGGTGGAAGCATCTCAGTGCTGGCGTGGGTCTCCATGTGGCTCCTCCAGGTCTCTGAGTGTGGCTTCTCAACAGGAAGGTGAAGCAGAGAGAGAGTGGCACTAATAGGGACTCAGCAAGTCTCCAAGTGGCTTAACAAAAAGACCAAGGCAGAAAGAGAGAGAGAGGAAGTTCCCAGAATTCTCATGAGAAGGTCATGCCCACAAGGAGGCATCATCAGGATGTGCCCTGATAGACTCCTCCCCTACACTTATTTATCAAGTTGACGTGAAATTGAGTAACTATCACATTTCTTTATTAGAAAACTACCAATTTATTGGCTCCTCTTATAGTGATACTAGGGATGAATTGGTAACAAGTTGCCATTGAATTGCTTCCGACTCTTGGTGACCTTCTGTGTGTGAGAGTGGAATTGTGTTCCACAAGCTTTCAAACTGTTGAATATTTGGAAGTAGATAGCCAGGTGTTTTCTCCTAAGAGTCTTTGGGTGGACTCTCCCCACCAACCTGTCCATGGTCAGTGAATGCAAACCGTTGGCACCACCCAGGGATCCCACAACAGCGATTCACAGAGGCTAACATGTACAGTGTTCAGAGAATGGGCCCAATTAGGGAAAGCCTAGGACTTGAGTTCTCTGTCATTTTCTCTTTGCATGACCATGTTGAGCCTAAGTGTCTTCTCTCCCAGGAGCCAAGGTGGTTCAATGGTTAAGTTAACCAAAAGGTTAACAGTTCAAACCCACTAGCCACTGGAGAGAAAAAAATCCTGGTCACCTGTCCTGAACAGATTATAGCCTAGGACACCCTTTGAGGAAGCCCTGCTGTGTCTCACAGAGTCACTGTGGGATGGAATTAACTCTGCAGCACACAACAAGAAAGGGGAATCATATTAATAGCACGTATCGGTTTCTTGGAATGATTGAGATCATGATTGATCATTTAAAAGATTAGACAATGTGCTTTTAGTTCCTGGATCCATGTCGGACTTCTCAGAGCTGACCTCCTTAGGACTTTTGTTAAGTCACTGTCAACGCATCTTGAGGGTTGCCTGTTATTGTTTCCTCAGCCCCTTGCAGGGCTGGCAGCTCATTGCACTTTGGGGATTAACATCTCTCTAGATACTCTTCTTTGGGCAGCACTCACAGTGACCAGTCAACCAGTGCCCTCATTTGAGATTGTAAGTAGCGCCCACTGGTGGGCCTATGGAGACAGTCCCCCTCCTCTGTCCCAATGACCATAGGCCATGCTGTTGCATGACTTCCCTTGCCATGGGGCCACGCCTCATTTTGGAATATGAGAAGTAGCTATCTTTTGTCTCATGCTTTATGTTGTAACTGAATGAAATGAATCTATTTCTGGCATCAGGTGATATGAGAGCTCAAGAAAGAATTTTAGTTTGGTTTTAGGAGGGAAAAATATCCACCAAATCCCTTGCAATAGAATGAGCAATGACTATTGGAAAATGGATTGTGGCAGATGCAGTTAGGTTAAAATTTAGCACCCTATCATTTGATTTCCCTTAGGATCCATTTACATTTGTTCTAATTTTTAATAGTTCTTCCTTTTTGATGGAGGTTTAAATCCTTTTAATTTGATTGTAATTAGGTATTTGTGTGTTTGTTTGTTTTCTGTATATGAAATCCAGGATAGGTAAGTCTACAGAGATAGCAACTGGATTAACGGTTCCTTGGGAGAATGGCAGGAAAGGTTGTGGGGAAATGGGGAGCTAATAATAAGGACTAGAATGAAGACAATGTTCTAAAATTGATTGCCGTGATGATTTCATCACTCTTCTTTGAATTGTGATTGAATTGTATGATATGTGAATCATATGACAATCAATCGGTTTTCAAAAAAAGAATGAGCAATGGCTTGAAAAATGTTTGGCATGATGCAATGACAGGATGCACATATAACATTCAATATTAGTTATTGTTGTTATTATTAATGGCACTTCATTGTTATTGTGTCAAAGAGAATCATAATCCTCGGGCCTAAAGCATTTTTCATGTCTAACACAAATCTATGAGGGAAAGAAAGTGCAAACACATATATACTAAGACACAATAGTAGGCCCATCAGTGTAACTTGGGAACTTTTGGTGGCTTTCCAGTGTCAAGAATAGCGATGGAGAAACAATGAGTGGAGTTGGAGACCTGAGTGGGGTTTTAGTTCTTAGCCAGGATGGTATTAGAAATGCATGTTCATTTTGGAAAAATTCATTGACTGTACATTTATGATTTCTACACTTTTCCTGATACTTTTCCCTTTTTAAAAAAATACCTTATTTTTACACTTTTCCCTGCAATGGAATAAGGCAAACCCAAAAAAAAGTCAATGCCTTTGAGCTATGATGTTGGCAAAGAATATTGAAGTCTGCAGACTTCCAAAAGAATAAGCAGCTCTGTCTTAGAAGAAATAAAAATAGAATGTTCCTTAGAGGCAAAGATGATGAGACTTCCTCACACGTATTTTGGACACATCACGAGATGAGTCCGTGGAGAAGGGACATCATGCTTGGTGAAGTAGAGGGACAGTGAAAGAGAGAAAGACGCTCGCCAGAACGGATTGACAGCATGGCCTCAATGACAGGCTCAAACAGAAGCACAATTGTGAGGCTGGCTCAGGAGCAGGCAGTGTTTATAATTCTGCAGTATGTGGGGGAGCTGTGAGTCAGCACCCGCTCCATGGCACCTAGCAACAACAACAACAAGCAATAAAATTCAAAAAGACAATGGGCAAACAGGGATTCATTTCATAGTCTGTGTGCTTTATATGAGCATAGCAAAAATCTTTGAATCCAAGAGCAACTAACCGTCTCCCTCTCCCTGCCCTGAGATATCCCTGAAGAAAAATCTACAGCCATGACAGTCTGCTGCTGCTGAAAGGTCATGACCTTGAAAATACCATGGGACCAATTTACTCTGCATTCACAGTGGTCACCATGTGTTGGAATCAGGCCCATTCACAGCAGCAGGCCTTGAATATCTGTAAATCTATGTAGAAAAAAAACATTTACATATTAAATGTTGCATCTTTTTTTTACAGTGAAGAATTCATGTTATTTTAGTCATTTGAAAAAATAAATTTAAAAACATTACATCACTGATTTTTTTTTTAATATATGGATGCCTAGGCATTGCCCATTCCCCCCCTCCCCCAAAGAGAGTCTCAATTAGTTGATCGGGGGTAGAGCCCCAACATGCATAGATTTAAAACATTCTAATGTACAAGGCTATAATTCATTACTCTGGGAGTTTAAATGCCTAGTGCCAGAGGCAAATCAACACCTTTTTACAGTAAAGTGATAAGTATTAGGTTTCAGTGGGAGTGAGATAAATCTGTAAATCCTTCAAGCTTCCCATTGACAGATTCAGATGTGCTAAAAGTGTGTCTTCTTCAAGTTGGGAGGACTCCAGGGCCAGGTAGGATGGTGATGAAGGTTCCAAACTGC